GGCCCTTGACAAGATACTGTACCTACCCATCAACCTCCTAAATGAGATTATGTTGAGGATGAACATCTTGTCCCTAAACAAGTAACCTTCTACCCATCAACCTTCTTGAATGAGCTTATGCTAAGGATGGAAATCTTGGTCCTGGACAAGGAACCCTCCACCCACCCACTTTTCCTAAATTAAATTGTGCTGAGAATGGACATTTTGGTCCTGGAAAATGAACCCTCCACCCACCCGCTTTCCTAAATGAGATTGCGTTGGGGATAGACATCCAGGACTGGGACATGTATCCTTTTTACCTCCACCTTCCTAAATGAGATTGTGCTTAGGATGGATATCTTGGCCCTAGATAAGTAACCTTCTACCCACCCATCTTCCTCAATGAGATTGCGCTGGGATAGGTAATTAGTCCATGGACAAGGAACCTTCTGCTCACCCATCTATTTAAATGAGATTGCACTGAGGAAGGACATCTTGTGCCTGGACAATGCAATTTCTACCCACCCACCTTATTAAATGCGATTACACTAAGGATGAACACCTTGGCCCTTGACAAGAAACCTTCTACCCACCCACTTGAATTATATCACACTGAGGATGGACATCTTGGCCCTGAACAAAATACCTGCCCAACTGCCTTCCTAAATGAGATTAAGCTGAGGATGGACATCTTGGTCATGAACAAGAAACCCTTCACCTACCCACTTTCCTAAATGAGTTTTCGCTGAGGATGGACATTTTGGTCCTAGACAAAGAACCAGTCACCTACCCACTTTCCTAAATGAGATCGTGCTGAGGATGGACATCTTGGTCATGGACAAGTAACACTCCACCCACCCACTTTCCTAAATAAGATTGTGCTGAGGATGGACATCCTGGCCCTAGATACGGAACTTTCAACCCACCCATCTTCCTCAATGCGATTGCCCTGGGGTGGACATTTTGTCCATTGACAAGGAACCTTCTACCCACCCAACGTTCTAAATGAGATTGCACTGAGGATGGACATCTTATGCCTGGACAAATAAGCTTCTACCCACCCACCTTACTAAATGTGATCATACTGAGGATGAACATCTTGGCCCTGGATAAGAAACCTTCTACCCACCCACCTTGCTGAATGAGATCGCACTTAGGATGGACATCTTGTCACTGGACAAGGAACCTTCTATCCACCCACCTTTCTGAGTGAGATTTGGGGATCAATCTACCTTTTCAGATGGATAATGGAAGCTTTGGCCAAGCCTACCAGAATACCCGCCTCCTGAAATTCCTTACCGAACTGGTTGGCGCAGTAGTGGGCTCCCAAAGTTCCTGTCTTCCGACACTTCTCCGGGCACTTGGCAGGTGAACCTAAAATTATCCAAAAGATTAACAACATTGTATAGTGAGACTAAAAATACCTGGTCAGGTCTTAGATTTCAATGATAGATTTAAAGACTTGTCCCTGGTTCATCCACCCAAACCATTTTTTGTTTTTTTTTGGAGTATTAAAAACCATGTTAGTCTCTCAAGGACTCTATTGGTGAGGTCTCTGAGTTACCAAGTTTGCATATCTGTTGTGAGGTGAGTTTCAGAACCTGCACACCTGTTGTCTTCATCAAGAGGAATTACCACCATACCTATGCTTAGTTCCCGGGTCTATATATCTGCTGTGCCCAATATGAGGGTACCGACCATCCCTGTGCTTAGTTCCCGGGTCTGTATAGCTGCTCTGCCCATTATGAGGGGGTTCCCATCATCTCTCTGCTAAGTTCTCAGGTCTGCACACCTGCTGTTCTCAATATGAGTGTTCCTACCATCCCTGATGATTTTTTTTTGAAATCTTGTATATGAAGAACATAAGAAAACAATCTGGAAAAACACCCAATACCAGGTGGAGGAACAAGAACACTACAAGGTGAACAGAAACACACAATCTCAGGAGTACTGAATATATCCCAAGGTGGGTGAAAACACTAACAGGTGTCAGAGTATAAACACCCTAGGGAACACACCCACCTAAGGAACAAAAACACTGTCAGGTGGACAAGAACACCCAAAGCTCCCAGGTAGAAATGCAAGAGCAACCTACGATATGCAGGAACACCTTAACCTCCCAGAGGGGGCATCGAGAACATCACTGAATAGGCAGGAACATCCGCGTATACCTAGATGAGGGACATGGATTACCACAAAGTGAGCAGAATCACTGAACACTCGATGAGTGCATCAATAATGCCCCAAGGTGAGTGGTAACACCATAAACTCCAAAGTGAAGGTGCTGGAACAACCCAAGGTGGGCAGAAGCATAATCATTAAAAAGTCAAATAGAGATCTTACTGTAGAAATCCTCAAAAGATCCTAAAATTGAGATAACTATTTTACTAGCCTCCTCCTACAATTTAATTATTGGTTTGGGTGGATCGAACCAATAATCTTAAAGTTCAGCCCAGAGATGTTAGCTCATCAGTCACCTGCAGGAGCTGGCAAATTGTCACGTTTCGGTTTCGCCGTGGTGGCCAGTTTGGCAGCCTTGGTGGGTTTGGGTTTCGGGGTGGGCTTAGCCGTGGCTGGCTTTGAGCTGGGCTTGGGCGTGGTTGGTTTCGGGGTGGGCTTAGGCGTGGAGGGCTTTGAGCTGGGCTTGAGCGTGGTTGGTTTTGGGGTGGGCTTAGGCGTGGAGGGCTTTGAGCTTGGCTTGGTTGTGGTTGGTTTCGGGGTGGGCTTGACTGCAGCTTTGGGGGTAGGTTTGGGTTTAGCTGGTGGTTTAGTTCCATCTGGGCGGCTCACTGTGCCCACACTAGTTGCTTTGGTTTTTGATTCGGGGTCCATCTTTGGGACTTCGGATGCATCCTTCATTCTGTAGGTGATATCAAATCCACCCGCCGTTATGCTGAGGTCAGATACGAACTGCACCAGCATCTCATTGCCTTCGGAATAGACTGTGCTGAAAAAAAATAAAAATATCAAGGAACCATTGAAAGGGTCAGTCCATCAAAACCTCATACTTCACTTCTGGCTAACTGGAGAGTAGGCTCACCAACTGGAATCTAGGATCCTCTGAAGATAACAGTGTGGACACCTCTGTACCCAAATTCTCAGCTCCACCCACTGTTTTACTTCTTCCGCTGTACAGCACTGTGGTATTTGTAGTGCTGGTACAAAGTATGTAGCGCCCAGGGTGAACGTGCCCAAAGGACCATCCCCCCCAAAGTCTATAAGCATTATGTGTCACCAAAAAAATTCAAGGGGGCTATAGGATTGCTGCCCCGGGGCTCTGCACTAGAGATACCACTGGCTGTCAGACTGTCATTGTGCAGTGTTTGCTTACCGCCCCCCATGTTCTTTGCTGGATGGACACTGCACAGTGGCAATCCGGCACTCCCCGACCCAGGACATCTGCAGTGCCAGGAGGAGGAGCTGAGGGTGGGGGAGAGAGCACAGCCCATCCCTCCTCCCAGCTCTCCCCTCCTTTCTAGGTCTGGCTTGTCTCCTCCAGCGCTAAGCTGACAGGGGTAATGAAGCTACCATCACTACTACTGGCAGCTTGTAGATAGGAACTCTCCATGTGGTGCCCCCCTCCCACTTCATATGATACCATCACGCCCAGGGCAGCTGCCCCTCCCACCCATCCCTTGACCGTGACCTGGGTATATGTCAGAGCTATATAAATGTGCAATAATAATAGTGTGTGACTGTGGGGGAGGGGGCATTAGAGTGTAAGCTCCTCTGGTACAGAGACTGATGGGACTGTGGGGGTGGGGACATTAGAGTGTAAGCTCCTCTGGTACAGAGACTGATGGGACTGTGGGGGAGGGGACATTAGAGTGTAAACTCCTCTGGTACAGAGACTGATAGGACTGTGGGGGAGGGGACATTAGAGTGTAAGCTCCTCTGGTACAGAGACGGATGGACTGTGGGGGAGGAGACATTAGAGTGTAAGCTCCTCTGGTACAGAGGACATTAGAGTGTAAGCTCCTCTGGTACAGAGACTGATGTGACTGTGGGGGAGGGGACATTAGAGTGTAAGCTCCTCTGGTACAGAGACTGATAGGACTGTGGGGGAGGGGACATTAGAGTGTATGCTCCTCTGGTACAGAGACTGATGGGACTGTGGGGGAGGGGACATTAGAGTGTAAGCTCCTCTGGTACAGAGACTGATGGGACTGTGGGGGAGGGGACATTAGAGTGTAAGCTCCTCTGGTACAGAGATTGATGGGACTGTGGGGGAGGGGACATTAGAGTGTAAGCTCCTCTGGTACAGAGACTGATGGGACTGTGGGGGAGGAGACATTAGAGTGTAAGCTCCTCTGGTACAGAGACTGATGTGACTGCGGGGGAGGGGACATTAGAGTGTAAGCTCCTCTGGTACAGAGACTGAGGTGACAGCGGGGGAGGGGACATTAGAGTGTAAGCTCCACTGATACAGAGACTGATGTGACTGTGGGGGAGGGGACATTAGAGTGTATGCTCCTCTGGTACAGAGACTGATGGGACTGTGGGGGAGGGGACATTAGAGTGTAAGCTCCTCTGGTACAGAGACTGATGGGACTGTGGGGGAGGGGACATTAGAGTGTAAGCTCCTCTGGTACAGAGACTGATGGGACTGTGGGGGAGGGGACATTAGAGTGTAAGCTCCTCTGGTACAGAGACTGATGGGACTGTCTCATTGGTCTCTGTACAGCGCCGTGGAATATGTCAGAGCTATATAAATGTATCCTAATAATATTGTGTGACTGTGGGGGAGGGGACATTAGAGTGTAAGCTCCTCTGGTACAGAGACTGATGGGACTGTGGGGGAGGGGACATTAGAGTGTAAGCTCCTCTGGTACAGAGACTGATGGGACTGTCTCATTGGTCTCTGTACAGCGCCGTGGAATATGTCAGAGCTATATAAATGTATCATAATAATATTGTGTGACTGTGGGGAGGGGACATTAGAGTGTAAGCTCCTCTATATGTAACCACTGCACTCACTTTGGTACGGTGTCTCCGCAGTATTTTCCGATCTCATGGTTGTTGTCTGTCTGTCCTCCGTTGAACACGGCCAGGTAATCGTAGCGGCAGTAACTGTCGTCTTCAACATCAAACTTTCCAAATGAGAGCTCGATCACCTGGCAAATAAAATACATTGGGGAATATTTATATATTTTTAAAAAATATATTCACCCAGTGAAAGCGCATGTACCTGAGTTCCCCGTGAATTAGGTACCCTCCTCCCCCCCAAATGTTATTAGGCTTTTTCTTGTGCTAGTTGAATACGTACTGGCATCTAGTGTCCAAATTCTGTATTTAAACAAGAAAATACCACATTTGGACACTAGATGGGGCTAAGTAATATAAGAGTTTCATATAAAACTTAGTGCCATCTATTGGCCAAATGTAGTATTTTCCGTTTTAAATCAATGATGTACGTTTGACCAGCACAGGTTCACCGGGCAAATTGCTATGCAAGTTTTTGTTATAAATACAACCCTCACAGTACAGATAATACCAGCGAAGATCAGTTTATGGGGTCAGAGATAATCACTTACCTGGTGTTTCGGGGCAAGGATATGCCAGGAGCAGCTGACACCCGCTGGGGTAATTAGTCTTGGGCCAGCTTGGGCTTGTTATACTTCCCTGAGGTTTCTCCAGCTTCCCTCCACAGAAGAGGTTTTCTAATCCGACAAAGAGAGTTATTACCATTGTAGAAAAATCAGAGTAATAAATATTACAATATATATCTGTGCGTGTCACAAAATGGTACGGAATTGCTACTCCGGTGTCACCGGCTCACCATTAAGCGCTGGTGCTCCTGCCGCGTACCAGGCTAGGAAGCCGCGTCCTCCGGTCTCCTCATCCGATCCCATCTCCAGCATCATCTGGGGTCCGGTAGACATAATGGTGCCGGGTCGGAAGGTTCCACAGACTCGCGCCAGCCTCTGGGAATTCTCGCTGTGTCCATTGTAGATGTTGAGGTAGTCGTACCTACAGCTGGGGTCCGCCTCCATATCCAGAAGTCGGAATGACAGGATCACAATGTGACCATCGGGAACCTGGCAGAACCAAAGGCGGCACTTAAAGGGTAACTCCTCTCTGATTAAAAACCAATAACAGTCCTGTGTCCAGCTATGCATCTGCATCCATCTCTTTACTGTGGGGTCTGTTTATAAAACATTTGCTGTGTGATTGTTTTGCATTCCCACAACCAGGGGTGGACTGACAACTCATGGGGCCCCTGTGTCCATGTGGCAATAGGGGATCATGGGGCCCCTGTGTCCTTGCCCAAACTCAAAAAAACCCTATGAAAAAGGTACCAGGGGCATCTCATGGGGCCCCCTACTGACCCCGGGCCCTCGGGCAGTGCCTCAGTTTCCAAATGGTCAGCCTGCCCCTGCCCACAACTATCCTGAATATTCCCCGCTATGTGTCTAATATGTTTTCTTCCGAGATTGTCGGCACCATCTAGTGGCCATAAGGCAGTATTTGCCTGAAATATTCCATTATGGCCAGTAGAGGGCGCTGACAATCAGCAATTTTTTTTTCTACAGTTAGACCCCATCATCACACTGTCTGACACTACAGCTCATGCAGGAGCAGAGCAGGGAAACCCACATGCTTCTCCCTTCTCTGTCACCCTATACAACAGTCACTGGCAGGAGCATTCAGATTTTTTGGGACTCCCCCAAACAGGGTCATATGAGGGGTGGAGCTTAGCTGGATCACAGGTTGAACTTAAAGCTGGAAGCTGGGCAGATATAAAAGACAATTGAATGTGGCTTTGTAATCCTTAATGCATCATTAAGGGGGTCTATGTATAAAAATGTATAAAAATCCACACAATCAGGACAAAAATTGCTGTATTATCTCTAATATGTGTAGGTCCTATATCTGCAGTGCCACCTAATGGCCATAATGTGTTTTTTTTTTTCCCAGAAATACTAAAATAAAAAAAGTTAAAAAAAAAAAAATAAAAGTATTGTTGCCTTAGATGGCACTGATGGTATAACAACTACACATAATAGAGGAAATACGGCAATTTTCATCCTGAGGTTGCAATTTGGAGGGGGGGACAGGACCTGCAGCAGAGAAAATCAGGTCTCCTGCCCTACTAGACAGTGTTGTGCTGTGTGTCAGAGCTGTGAAAATCTCAGGACTGGATGGACAGAAATAAAACTCTCAGGATCTGGATGAAGAGGCGCACAAGCGTCGTCCTTACCGTGATCTTCCAGGTGCACTTCGTCTTGTGAGGGTAGTAATTCGGGAACCCTTCACTGCCCACATACCCAGAATCCCCTGTGAGTTCTCCTCCGCACAGGAACACGGGCCTGGAGGTGGGAGAAGGGAAGGAAGAGGTGATCAAATCCCGAATGAAAGTGAAAATCATTTTTTGGAGGAATTTGAGCGATTTACTCAATCGTTCGGAGGCAATGGGGATGGTGACATCAAGGTGGTTTTTGGCAGTTTTTGAAGGTGTGGTGGGCTTTAAATTTGTGTTTATTTTTATACCATTTTCTACAACTGAAATTTAAAACAATTCAGCTTTGTCTCATGAAAGTAACTCATTCTAGGTGCATTATGAGTTGGGTTGTCAATACGGTTAGGGTCTGGGTCAGCAGAATTGGAGGTTGGGGGTTACAGTTGTCATTATTCAATAACAAAAACTGTATTAATTATTTATCAGCACCACACTGCCCCCTAGCACAGCACAGCAGTAAAGCAACGCAACAGCTCTCCGTGAGTGTGAATTCACCCCAGACGGTGACTGGAAAATGTTTCACTGCAACTCCACCTTTGCACACCAGAGGGGGCTGCATACACAGACAAAATTGTTGTAATTTCTTTTTCTCTTCTCCTTTTTCTTTCTTTCTTTCTTTCTTTCTCTTCCGCTCCCCCCCGCTCTTCTCTTTCATTCTCTCCCCCTTTCTTCTATTTTACTCTCTTCCCTCACTTCTACAGGTGAAAACTCGAAAAATTAGAATATGGTGCGAAAGTTCATTTATTTCAGTGCAGCAACTTAAAAGGTGAGACTAATATATGCGATAGACTCATTACATGCAAAGCAAGATAGTTCAAGCCGTGATTTGTCATCATTGTGATGATTATGGCTTACAGCTCATGAAAACCCCAAATCCACAATCTCAGAAAATGAGAATATTCCATGCAATCAATAAAACACGGATTGTACATAGAACAAGATCGGACCTCTGAAAAGTAGAAGCATGCATATGTACTCAGTACTTGGTTTGGGGCCCCTTTTGCAGCAATTACTGCCTCAATGCGGCGTGGCATGGAAGCTATCAGCCTGTGGCACTGCTGAGGTGTTATGGAAGACCAGGATGCTTCAATAGCGGCCTTCAGCTCTTCTGCATTGTTCGGTCTCATGTCTCTCATCTTTCTCTTGGCAATGCCCCATAGATTGTCTATAGGGTTCAGGTCAGGTGAGTTTGCTGGCCAATCAAGCACAGTAATCCCACGGTCATTGAACCAGGTTTTGGTGCTTTTGGCAGTGTGGGCGGTGCCAAGTCCTGCTGGAAAATGAAGTCAGCATCCCCATAAAGCTCGTCTGCGGAAGGAAGCATGAAGTGCTCCAAAATCTCCTGGTAGACGGCTGCGTTGACCCTGGACTTAATGAAGCACAGTGGGCCAACACCAGCAGATGACATGGCTCCCCAAATCAATGCAGACGGTGGAAACTTCACACTGGACTTCAAGCATCTTGCAGTGTGTGTCCCTCCATTCTTCCTCCATACTCGGGGTCCTTGTGCCTCTCCATTCTTCCTCCATACTCGGTGTCCTTGTGCCTCTCCATTCTTCCTCCATACTCGGGGTCCTTGGGCCTCTCCATTCTCCCTCCATACTCGGGGTCCTGGGGCCTCTCCATTCTTCCTCCATACTCGGGGTCCTTGGCCTCTCCATTCTCCCTCCATACTCTGGGTCCTTGGGCCTCTCCATTCTTCCTCCATACTCGGGGTCCTGGGGCCTCTCCATTCTTCCTCCATACTCGGGGTCCTTGGGCCTCTCCATTCTCCCTCCATACTCTGGGTCCTTGGGCCTCTCCATTCTTCCTCCATACTCTGGGTCCTTGGGTCTCTCCATTCTTCCTCCATACTCGGGGTCCTTGGGCCTCTCCATTCTTCCTCCATACTCGGGGTCCTTGGGCCTCTCCATTCTTCCTCCATACTCGGGGTCCTTGGTTTCCAAATGAGATGCAAAAGTTGTCCTCATCAGAAAAGAGGACTTTGGACCACTGAGCAACAGACCAGGTCTGTTTTTTTTTTTAGCCCAGGTAAGACGCTTCTGACGTTGTTTGTTGTTCAGGAGCGGCTTGACAAGAGGAATACGACATTTGAAGCCCATGTCCAGGATCCGTCTGTGTGTGGTGGCTCTTGATGCACTGACTCCAGCCTCAGTCCACTCCTTGTGAAAGTCCCCAACACTTTTGAATGGCCTTTTCCTGACAATCCTCTCCAGGCTGCGGTCATCCCTGCTGCTTGTGCACCTTTTTCTTCCACACTTTTCCCTTCCACATAACTTTCTATTAACGTGCTTTGATACAGCACTTTGGGAACATCCAACTTCTTCTGCAATTCCCTTTTGAGGCTTTCCCTCCTTATGGAGGGTGTCAGTGATGGTGTCAGGTCAGCAGTCTTTCCCATGATTGTGATTCCTACTGAACCAGACTGAGAGACCATTTAAAGGCTCAGGAACCCTTTGCAGGTGTTATGGCTTAATTAGCTGATTAGAGTGGGACACTTTGAGCCGAGAATATTCCACCTTTTCACAATATTCTCATTTTCTGAGATTGCGGATTTGGGGTTTTCATGAGCTGTAAGCCATAATCATCACAATGATGACAAATCACGGCTTGAACTATCTTGCTTTGCATGTAATGAGTCTATCTCATATATTAGTTTCACCTTTTAAGTTGCTGCACTGAAATAAATGAACTTTTGCACCAGATTCTCATTTTTTGAGTTTTACCTGTACCTTACTCCTCTTCCTTCATCTCTCCCCATCTATTCTTTCTTTCTGCCCCCCCCCCCCCTCAATCTTATCATACTCATTATCTTTTACCACAGGGTGGGTCAGGAAGATCTTTCCTTTCCTTTCTTCCTTCCTTTCATTTTTCCGTCTTTCTTCTTCTTTTTTTCTTTCTTTCTTTCTTTCTTTTTTTTCCTTTTTTTCCTTTCTTCCGTTCTTCTTTCTTTCCTTTCTTCCTTCCTTTCATTCTTTCTTCCTTCCTTTCATTTTTCCTCCTTTTTCCTTTCATTTTTCCTTATTTCCTTCCTTTCTTTCCTTTCATTTTTTCCTTATTTCCTTTTTTCTTTCCTTTCTTTCCTTCTTTTCTTTTTTCCTTTCTTCCGTTCTTCTTTCTTTCCTTTCTTCCTTCCTTCCTTTCATTTTTCCTTCTTTCCTTTCATTTTTCCTTATTTCCTTTTTTCCTTCCTTTCTTTCCGTTCTTTCCTTCCTTCCTTCCTTCCTTTCATTCTTTCTTTCTTCCTTCATTTCAATGTTTCTTCTTTTTCTATCTTTTCTTTTCCTTTCCTTTCCTTTCTCCATTTCTTCCTTCTTTCCTTTCCTTTCCTTTCCTATCCTTTCCTTTCTCCATTTCTTCCTTCTTTCCTTTCCTTTCCTTTCCTTTCTCCATTTCTTCCTTCTTTCCTTTCCTTTCCTTTCCTTTCTCCATTTCTTCCTTCTTTCCTTTCCTTTCCTTTCTCCATTTCTTCCCTTTCCTTTCCTTTCTCCATTTCTTCCTTCTTTCCTTTCCTTTCCTTTCTCCATTTCTTCCTTCTTTCCTTTCCTTTCCTTTCTCCATTTCTTCCTTCTTTCCTTTCCTTTCCTTTCCTTTCCTTTCTTCATTTCTTCCTTCTTTCCTTTCCTTTCTCCATTATTTCCTTCTTTCCTTTCCTTTCCTTTCTCCATTTCTTCCTTCTTTCCTTTCCTTTCCTTTCCTTTCCTTTCCTTTCTCCATTTCTTCCTTCTTTCCTTTCCTTTCCTTTCTCCATTTCTTCCTTCTTTCCTTTCCTTTCCTTTCCTTTCTCCATTTCTTCCTTCTCTCCTTTTCCTTTTTCTCTCTCTCTCCTACTCTGAACCCCTGACCTTGCAGCAGACTCCTACAAACCTAAATCCACATAAACAGAGACTCTGACTCACATCTCCTTTCCTCTGCTGGATTTATCTGCACAGGAATCACAGAAAATGTTCTTCAGCGCGGTGGGCAAGGCTGGGAACACGGTTTTCAGATTCAGAAAAGACGGTGGGGGGGGGGGGGGGGGGGGGGGGGGGGGGGGGGGGGGGGGGGGGGGGGGGGGGGGGGGATGCTCCCAGGACCCCAGATCTCATCTGATGACTCTGGTATAATGGGTGAGGTGATCTAGTCAGCTATGTCTTCCATTGTAAAAACAGACATCATATTTTCTCCAGCTTTAAAGGCCAGCCCAAGTCACTGAGCTCAATACACAGATGGGGTTCATATACAGGGTCTGTCTACTCAAAGTAATAAAGATGCACATGTGATCCCCCGTCCTCTCAGAGTTACAGGACTGTAAAGATTTAACAAGGTGACAACACTTTTCAAATGCTGCAATTGTGCCACTGCCCCACCTCCTCCCAGCTCTTAGAATAACTAGAGAAAATGACCAAACTGGCCACACCCACCCAACTGCCTTCCCTATCTAATTCATCTACATTTTGCTGCTCCTTCTACATGGATTACAGAGAAGACACTCCCACTGCAAGCCTGATTTCATCTGTCAGCTAGTGTGTGAAATGAAAACAATTTGTGATCTTTGAAAGAATACATGAGAGAAATAAAAAGGCTGATCTGTGGTCACTGAGCCGGGATTTTTGTGGAGGGAAGATGGGGAGATGAGCAGAGCTGACATCTGGTAACACTTCATGATGGGAATTCCAAACATTGCTGGTTTTACTTTAACCTGTCATTTCCAGATTGTTCTATCTAAATTTATACAGTATATCATATTGTGAAATAGAGATGGGGGGGGGGGGCACTCAGAGATGATAGAACTTGTTTATATAGCGCTGACATATACTGCAGTGCTGTACAGAGAACACTGAGCCAGTCACATCAGTCTCTGTACCAAAGGAGCTTACACTCTAATGTCCCCTCCCCCCCCCGCAGTCACATCAGTCTCTGCACCAGAGGAGCTTACACTCTAATGTCCCCTCCCCACAGTCACATCAGTCTCTGCACCAAAGGAGCTTACGCTCTAATGTCCCCTCCCCCACAGTCACATCAGTCTCTGTACGAAAGGAGCTTACGCTCTAATGTCCCCTCCCCCACAGTCACATCAGTCTCTGTACA